GGTGAGGGGCATTGCTTCGGGTGATGTCTTCTTGTTGCCATAATCTATGCTCAAGCCTCTCTTCTCTCGTCCCCCCCTCCCTGGCCCGTCTCTTTCGGGATGTCTTGAGCGGGAGCCGTCCTAGTCGCACGGCTCTCGACTTGCTCTGCGTTTCGATCGACTGGCGCCGAGTCGCGTCGACGCGTGGCACCTTGTAGCAGATATTGTCTCCACGAGAAAAATACAACAGCACCTATATGTACGCCCCATTTCCTCAGTTCGCTGCTTTCTCCCTTCCCTCTCCCCCTCCTCCTCCTCCTGGCCCACTTTTCGGAAGTCTTGGGAAGCTGTATTCGGGGACCAGGGGAAGAAACATCTGCTCTCCTGGAACCAGCGTCTGGGCCTATATCGTCTATGCAAATGTCTCTGGATCGTATGGGCTGTTATATGAAAGGCCCTATTTGTTTTTGCTGATGACAAAGACAGCGAGATTGTCTGCACTCTGACGAGCCCCGAGCTCACCAAGACATGTCCTCACGCTGTCGTCCTTCGCCAGCTCGAGCGTCCTCTTCGGCGGAGCTGAATTCGCACGCTCGGCATCATGATTTTCCGCGAGCTTAGATGCCTCTGCTCGCGCTGCTGGCTCTGTTCCCTTTCTTTTCGTGTCGATCTGAGCACTTCGGCCTTGCGGTCGAAGAGATGGTCCGTTTTTGAGACAGGCTGCCTCCGATCTCTAGTCAGCTATGCAAGGCAGCACCTTACTCTGCATTTCACCGTCTGTGAGAATGCCAAGCTTGTGCTGGCGCTCGTCGTGATATTGTGGGCCCTGCTCTTGTGAATCTGGCCCTTGAGGCCAAAGCTTCTGGTTTCTTGGGTTTGGTTGTGTTCACGCCTGGCGCGTTTTCGCACCACGGAGATTATGTGCCAGGTCCGATTCGACAGTCTGGGATGGACCACGCCGTTCTGGAGTATTTCGAGGAAGGCTTCCAGAGGGGTGGGTCTCAATTTCTCGGGGGCTGGAGACCTTCGGTTCTCCAGACATGTTTTCCTGGACGGTACCTGTTTCAAGTCGGCTATGATTGAGATATCTAGGTCTGGCTGGGCCGTCGTCCGGGTTGCCGACACCGGTAACCTGACAGATTGGTGCTATGGCCCAGTCTTTGCTCATTTCTTTCAGACTCCGAAGGCTCGGGGTGCCAACCTGGATGCCTCCGAGGGAAGCGTGAAAATGATCGCCCGCGGCCAGGCCACTGCTCGAAGCCCCCTCGGTTGAATAGTTCTCTGATTTAGTTGCCAACCGCCATCGGTGTGCACTTATAGACTGTTCCCGATGGCCCGTTCCTTTGTGTATGCTTCAAATGCAACCACTACAGTTCTGGTGGCAGACTCGTCCATTTTTCGAAGCTGTGTCCCCGAGGGCAGCGGAGCTGGGAGGACGAACTGGAATTATGTATGCTCTGACCGCCACCCGCAGAAGAGGAAACGCCTTTGCAACGTGGTCATGCCCTCGTCCTGCGGCTCGTTTGAGACATTACGTTGGTGAAGGAGGAAGGGTACTGCCAGGCTCGAGAGGTCGAGCCTCCTGACCCTGCAGGTAATGAAGAGGCCGAGGAGGAAGCCTCTCATTTCCTTCTTACTCCTGTCTGTCCCGCTGCAACTGCAGCGGCTCCCAGCTCCTCAGGCTCCGTTTTCAGCAGCGTGGCCGAGGCTCTCAGACAGGAAGACGAGCAGCCTCTCATTTCTGCTCGTGCTGACCCTATCCAGGACGATGAGACTTCTCCCAGGGGGGCATGTTTCCGTAGAGGTGGAAACATCTTCTCTTGTTCTTCCCCCCCCTCCTCCTCTTCCTCCTCCTTCTCCTTCTCCTCCTCCTCCACCTCATCCTCATCCCCATTCCATCCCTCCTCCTCCTCCTCCTCCTTTTCCCCCTCCTCCTCCCTCTCACTTTCCTTCTTCATCCGCGCTGTCCCCCTCCTTCACTTCTCCTCTCTCTTTTCCCCCTCAGCCTCATCCTCCTCATCTTCCCTTCTGCTATCAGTTAGTCTCTTCTATACTGGCTCCCCTTTCGCCCGTGGACTCAGCGGATCCGACGGCACTACGGGGGTTTTCTGCACCAAGGCAATCCTGGTCTTCTTGCCCCGGATGGCTCCCAATGAGAATCGGTTTCCGTCCCCCTCCTCCTTCTTCCCTCCCCCTCCTTCTCCTACTCCTCCTTCCCGTCTGCCTCATCCTCCGACGACGCTGCCCAAAGTAGCTTTACAAAAGGTCCCGCCACTGTTTCCCTCCACCCGCCTTGCCAGGAGGAGAGGAAGGAGGGAGGAGGGCCGCCGACAGCATAATCTATAATATTTATGTTGACCAGCGTGGATTCGAACCAGTGTGTTTCTAGCAACCTATTTGTTGCAACCTTTGTGATGCAATATGTGTTGTGCCATCCCTTGTGTACAATGATGTTGTGTTAACTCGGTTGTGCACTCTATCGTGTGCAACGTTGATTGTGCAGCATGGCGTGTTCAGTATATGTTGTGCAGCCTGTGGTGTGTTACCTATGTGGTGCAATATATGTGGTACACTATATAGAGCTTGCCATTTATGTGATGCAATTAATGTTGTGCGATTTAGTTTGTGCAACCTGATGTCTGCACTGAATGCTGTGCAATATTGTGTGAATCCTCTTTTGCGCAGTGTCTGCTGTGCAGTCTATGGTTCTCAACCGATCCAACGTACCCTATGTGACACACTTGATGCTTCGCGCAATCTATGTGATGCAAGCGATGGGGTACAATCTATGTGGAGCAATCGATGTTGCGCAACCTATTTGAAGCAGTCAATCTGCCGAAACCTATGTGGCGCAAAATTTGGTGTGCAACCTACGCTGTGCAATATACGTGGTGCACTCTATGGTGTGCAACCTATGTGTTACCATCAATGTTGTGCAACATCTGCGAAGTAATACATGCAATGCAATACATGGTGTGCAATCTATGAGATGCAATCGAGGCTGTTCAGTTTTATGAGGTGCAACCTACGTGGTGAAATATATGTGGTGCAATGCGTGTTGGACCGTGTGTCGTGTGCAATCGATGGTGTGTTATTCACGCTGTGCGATCTGTCGTGTGCAGTGTTTGTTGTGCCACCTGTGCTGTGCAATTGCTGTTTTGCAATGCATGTTGGAAGAGCTATTGTGCGCAAACTACATTGCACAGAGTATGTGATGCAACCTGATGTGTGCAATCGTATCGCGCCAGCTATCTGAAGCCATCAATGCGACGCAGCGGGCGTGGAGCGATCGACATGGGAACCTAGATGTCCACTTCAATGCACGTGGCGCAATGTATGTTGTCCCACCTTTGGCGTGCAATGTGTTGTGTGCAATATATGCGAGCTATATGTGGTACATCATATCGTGTGCACTGTGTGTTGTGCAAGTCATGCTGTGCAATCTATGTGGCGCAGTCTATGTACTGTAATAGGTGTGGCGCAATCTATGAATAAACAAATACATGGAGCAATCGATGCTATACACAGTATTTGGTGCAATTAATGTGGTGCAACCTGTGTTGTGTAATGTGTTGTGTGCAATCGATGTGGCACAATCTATGCGGTACCATCTACGCGGTAAGTTTCATGTAGTGCCGTATGTGTGGTGCAAAGATGGTGTGTTATCTACGCTGTTCAGTCTGTCATATGTAGAATAGATTGTGCCATCTTTGTCGTGCAACATGTCGTGATCAACATATCTTTATACACATGTATTTTAAACTCTGTGCTTTGGACTACATGTGGTGCAACATGAGTCGTACAATACATGTGTTACGCACTATGTTGTGCAACCTATGTGAGGCAGTATATGTGATGCAACAGATGTGGTGCAATAGACGATGTGACATCGATGTTGCGCAATCTATGTTGTCCAATCTACGTCGTGCATTCCATGTGGCGCACATGTTTTATACAATATGCTGGTGATGATATGGGAGCCAATCTATGGGGGGTCAATCTGACTGCTTAATATGTTATAGAAAGCAATGCAATACAAAGCGCGGCGGCGACGAGGCGGCGTCGAGGCGAGAAAGTGGCAGCCACACAGCCGCCAGACCGACACACAGGCCCAGACGATGGGCGGCGACGGGGCGGCGACGGGGCGGCGACGGTGGCCACAGCGGCCAGACCGACGCACAGGCTCAGTTCCTCAGGCCAGCTGTAAGAGCCCCGGATTCCAAGCGCGGCTTGGGGAAATAACGGAATTGCGTTTAGATTCCAGTCGAGGTGTGACCAGTCCAGATAGGTCCACAGGTCCGGAGTGCTACTTTCTGGCGCTCTGGAAGGTCAGGGGATGAGGAGGGAGGAGGGGAATCGAGGATCGAGGCCCTGCAGTCTTCAGTGAGTTCTCGCACCTCTCGCTGCTCCCTCGAGGCTGTTGGGCGCTTCCTCTCGGCGGCGAGCGAGGGAGACACATGAGAAGGAGAAGGCCTTCTCAGAAGGCGGCGGGACTTCTCAGATGCCCTCGCGCCTTCTGAGAGTTGTTGCTGTTCCGTGTCCTCTGGGAAGGCTTACAACACTTCTCCGCAGGCTGGGGGACTTCCGAGCCTTCTGAGAAGGCCCGCCCCTTCTCACTCCCCCCCCCCCGGGCTCGCCGCCGATCCTGGCTCTCGGCGGGGTCTCTGCAGGCCGCCGGGGAGTCCCGGGCACCTCTGGGGGCCTTCGGAGGTCCCTGCAGAGGGGGGGGGGCGTCGGAGAACGCCCAGGGGGTGGGGGGGGGAATTAACGGAGGGGCAGCGAGTGCTGCAGAAAGGGAGCCCTTCAGGGCCCCTGGAGGAGCTTTGGGGCACAAGAGGGGCCCTCGTGGCCCGGAGAGGGCAGCTGTCTTCCCCCATCTATCGCCCCCCCATGAATTCGCGCCCCATCGGAAGTCCCTTCCAGAGGAGGGGGCGGAGAAGGAGGAGGCGCTCGGCGGTTTCCTGTGTCTTCGCGGGGGAGGTCTGGTGAGGGCTCTCTCGGCCGACCCGGCCCGCGCGCAGGCGTGTCGTGGACGCCCACGGACCTGGCGAGAGACATGGGGACCGAGAACCCCTTCAAGGCGACTTTTCTTCCGCGCTTCTCCAACACTATAATATTATGTGTGCGTCGCCCGCCGCCCCCCCCAGGGGCGACGCGCGCGCCGAGAAATCTTACAGTATAAGCTCCTTGGCGGGCGTTCTCTGGCCATACCGCTCGGGAGACGATATGCTACAAGATGGTTGTGCTACATGTTCACTTCGGGCGCACGCCTCCGAAGATCGACTACACGTAACTGTGACCCTTTGCCAGAGTGACCTTTGGTGTGGGCTCATCGGGGTCCCCCCGATCGTTGAGCGCGATGCGTTAGCGGCTGCTTGCGCGCTTGGATTTGGCCGCCTTGCGCCCCCGTAGTCCGCGCACCGAGGGTCACCCTTGCCTGGGGTCACCCCTGCGGGTAGCCGAGAGGAGGACACCTCGCACTGGTGTGTTTTCGCGCGTGCCCCTTCCTCCTCGCCGCTTGCGCCGCGCCGTCGGGCGCCGGCGGCGCGGGCGGGTGCTGGCCCTCACGGGCGGGCGGTCGAGGGAGCGCACACACTGTTGAGCCAGCAGTTGGCGGAGCGGTTGGTGCCCCGCAAATCGGTGGGCACACGAGAACCCTACCCCACCACCCCACGATTTCTAACGGGGGATGTGGGGATCACTTCGCTCGGGAGGTCCCGAACCAGGTGAACCCCACCACTCCCCTCTCAGAAATCGTGGGGTGGTGGGGTTGGGCTCGCATGTGGCCTCCGAACGAAAACAGCCGGGGGAAGGGGGAGAGGAGGGGAGAGGAGCGAGGGACGAAGAGAGTGCAAGATATGAGCCGGCGGGAGCAAGGCGAGGCCAGAGGAAGCGCAGAATGTGGACTGAGGCGCGTGGATGAGCAACGGGTCCCGCTTCCATGCCATGTCGGCGCGTTTCGTCGCCGAATCAGGCGGCATTGGCGCTTGGAGCTGGCTGGAGGTCGGAGGTGGCCCAGCACTGGTTCCGGTCGGGGGGGCGGGGGCAGGTTCGAGGTTCGAGGTTCGGGGTGCCAGGGCTCGGGGAGTTTTTGTTCTTTTTGCTTCTGCCTCCGTGCGCCGTTTTCGACCCCAGGACCGTCAAAAACGGATCTGGGGCGAAAAGCTGCAGATGGACCCTGGGAGGGGTCCAGGGACCGACTTTGAGCGGATTTGGCCTTATCCCTTCTTTGTGGTGGATTTTCTCGAGGTCCATCCAGTCAGACACCCTGGACGCCTCCAAACGGGACCCATTTCTGTGCCAAATCTGCGCGCTCCGTCGCCAAATCGGGCGGCATAGGCGCCATCTTTCCCGACCACGCGCCAGATCCACAGATCCATAGTCCATGTCAGCATTTGCTCGAATCAGTTTCCTCGTTTCCTCTCTCCATCGTCGTGGTCGTCGTCGTCCTCCTCCTCCTTCGTCTCCTTCTCCTGGTCATGGGTAACGCTGTGCCTCCTCCTCCTCCTCCTCCTCCTCCTCCTCCTCCTCCTCCTGGTCTCTGGTTTGCAGCGTTTCCGCGTTGCCTGGCACTGTTCAGGTTCACGGTGCGATGTCAGACTCAAACGGGGTCGTCCCGATGTCGCGCTTGGAGAAAACACATAAATTGGGTCCTGAGGGTTTTCGCTGCGGTCGGCTTGCCTGGCCCAGCATCGATGGATATACAGTCAGGAACTTTGGCCTCGATTGTCGCGTCGCCAGTTCTGGCCCACCACGCTAACCACTTCCCAATTTCCCAGGCGGCGACGTCCTGAGCCTTTCCGAGCCTCCGGCCCTGCGGAGCAGAGCGATGGCACGCTATCATATGGCAGGGCAGGTCGCGTCGCCTGGGCCGCCTGGGGGAGGGTACCCTCGAATGCTCTTCATTTTGACCAGCCGAGGGTCTCATGTTCTTGAAGGATGTTCTTCTGGCCTAGGCCCGACTGCACCCTGGCCCAATGGGGATGGGGGGGGGCACACGGGTCTGCCGATGCTGCCGGGCGCCGAGGCTCCGCCCGGCGGCGCCGTAGGTTCACCCGCGGCGCGGCGCCATCTCCCCCCCTTCCCTGCCCGCTCCCTCCCCACCTGCTCGCTCTGTCGCGTTCGCTGTCCTTCTTTTTGTCTTCCTCGTCCTTCTTGAGCTGGCGTTTCTGTGCGGCGGATTTGCCATTTTCTCGTCAGCTGTCTCGCTCACGCCGCTGCCGCCCTTCTAAAGCAGACATGGGCAGCGCCCGAGGCTCGCGACCCTGAGATCCGACGGCTCGGCAAAAATTGGAGCATCGTGAAAAATCACAACCGGAATCCTACGGTAGGGAACTGTTGGATAGCGTGTTGCTCCGACAGTCCTGGCCCGCTACGCTTCGGCGCGACACGTCATCCACTTCTCAGTCCCCAGGTTTCAACGTCTCGAGCCGTCCCCAGCCTCCCGCTCCGCGGAACGGAGCGACACACTATCCGCTCGCATGTCCGAAGCCCGAACCTGGGCGAACACGCCCGGCTCGTATAAAAAGGAGTCGCCAGGCCAGATCTCAGGGGAGCCGATTGTGCGGGGCGACATATTCCGCCATCGCCCCCCGGAGGCCTTCACCGAGCGCCGGGCCAGGGAGGTTAGCCAGTGGATTTCGAACAACCCGCAGGCCGCACCCGCGCACGACGGCGCAGCGTTGTGGAATGATGGTTGTGACGATGATGATAGCGTTGTCGGTGTTGATGCTGATGATGCTAATGAAGAGATGGCGATGATGTTAATGATGCTGATTAGGATGATGGTAGTGAAGATGATGGTGACGCTGATGATGCTGATGCTGGTGATGATGCTGATGATGCCGATGATGATGATGATGATGATGATGATGATGATGATGATGATGATGATGATGCCGCTGATGGTGATGGTGGTGGTGATGGTGATGATGATGACGATGGTGATGATAGTGGTGATGATGATGACGACCCTGATCATGAGCGTGATCATGATCATAATGACGATGATGATGCTGATGTTTATGATGATGATGGTGGAGCTTTTGAAGGTGATGATGATGCTGTTGATGATGATGATGGTGATGATGATGATGATGATGATGATGATGATGATGATGATGATGATGATGATGTCGCTGATGGTCATGATGGTGATGGTGGTGATGGTGGTGATGATGGTGATCGTGGTTGGCCTTCTTTCGGCCGCGGGATACTCTCGCAGGGCCCCCCATCACAGTCAAAAACAGCCCATATTGGAAGACTGGTCCGAGGGAACAAGTCAAAGGACCTCCGCGGAATCACGTCGTGCAAAGAGTCACGGCGTCGGAGGTTTTGGGAGGTCGGGCCTGATCGCGCGTTCCAGGCGGAGCCTCGCCCTCCAGAGGACGAGAATTAGCTGGCCGGTCTGCCCCTCGGCTGGAGGTGGCGGGAGTCTAGCGGAGGCTGGCGGAGGCAGATCGCCATGGGTCGAACGGGTCATGAGGGAAACGGGTGCTGAGGTTTTTTCCCGTTTTCGGGTTCTCTGGGCCTTCCACGGACCTCGGGACGGTCAGTAGTTCAACGACCCAGGATGAAGATTTCGTGGTGTTTTTTCAGCCTGGAACAGGTCCCTATCCCTACGATTGGCATCACCTCATCTCGTTGCCGATCTCCAGGGTTCCTCCAGTTTTCGAGGGCGCATCCCTAAGATTGTCCTCACGGTTTGGCTTGTTAGTCTCAGGATAAGCATAAGTTCGAGGCTGGTTACTGGTGGAAGGCCCCAGGATCCATGCCCCGTGTCCCGCAGGACCCGCTTTCCCCATACTGGGTGGAGCGAAGGCGGCTAGGCCAGCCGAGGGTCGGCGGAAGCCCGGCGAAAGCTTGAGAGCCTGGGGGAACGGCGTGTTTTTGGAACTCGAGTTCGGATTCCAACAATAGATGTTTGGTTTGGGATGTCGGATTCTTTTTCTGAGGGCAAGTTCTCTCCTATTTGGTGAGGTCGAGGCCGGCTTTCAAAAACACCCTTCTCTTATCTGTGAGGGAGTCGTTGTTTTTGAAAGTCGAACTCTACATTCAACAGCACGCAGTTCTCCCAGGGTGGCAGCGAGAGGGGGCAAGCCTTCTCAGAAGGCGGCGGGGCTTCCCAGAAGGCCAGAGGACTTCTGAGAAGCCGTCACTGTCTTCGGACCGACGGAAGCCAGGCGAAAGTAGATCGGTACGATCGAAGTGGGTACAGAAAGATTGGGCACTAAGACCGATAGCGTCCACTGCACATTTTTAACAGGACTCCCTGTCGGCCTGTCGGTGTCGCCGCAGAGGTTGTTCAATTGAGACACAAGACCGCCTGCCCAACAGAGACTGCCGTCGGTTTTGGACAACATTTCCAGTTGAGCATAGTGCCCATGTTTTATCGTACCCATTCTGACGGTGCCAACAAACCATTTGCCCTCCATGTCTTTTTTACTGCTCCAGGGCTTCTGCGTCGGTCATGACGGTCATTGATCGTGAAGGGTTTCATCATTTCTGTTGTCCCTTGATTCGCTTTGGAGCTTGCATGTTTTATCCAGGTGTACCTGGATATTTGGATTTACCTTGATTTGTCTTGGCCTATCTTGTCGAGCGCCGACTGTTGTGAGTTCATGGGGCGGGCCCGTCACGCAGCAGCGCCCTGTGAGATAAGTACCTCAGTGAGGTCCAGGCTGTGGGAGTTCCAGGCCTGCTGATGGACGTCGCAGTCGCCGTGATTGAGACTCTTTTGTCCTTCTTCTCCAGAACAACTCCCCTGGAGGCAGACACCTACAGCTGAATGTTAGACGCTTCGCGTAACCCCACTAGCCCCGGACTTTGCTTCTCGCCGCCTGACCTTTGTCTCGCGGCCGCGACCGAAAAAGTAACCCCACTAGCCGCTTGCAGCTTGCAGTCCCTGGCCGCCGTCCACCCTGGCAGCCAGCCCCTCCTGCAACGCGTTGCATGCGTGCACCTTGGCAGTGCAGCTCCCCAGCAGTTGCTGTCAGCCCCTTCCCACTCGCCGGCCCGGCCGCCGAGGTGCTGCGTGAGGCTTCGGCCCACCGCTTTAGGTTAATTCGTCTTTGCGCGCCCCGCTCTGACTGGACTCGGACTCGCCGCTGGCGCGCTCGCCTGCGGCCGCTGACTAAAAAGTAACCCCACTAGCCTATCCAGAAAGGATGCCCAGTCGAGTTGCCCTGATCAGAAATGTGGAGGAACCCGCAGTGGAAGATGGGGGTGGGGAACCCGTCATACCCCGAGAGGGGGAGGATAGAGGAGGAATCGGATAAGGCGGAGGGAAAGAGGAGGCAGGACGGAGTAGGGACGAGGAGGAATAGGCGGATGATGAATGTGATGATGATGGTGATGTTGATGATGGTGGTGCTGCTGATGCTAATGTTGATGCTGATGCTCATGATGATGATGATGCTGATGATGATTAGGATGATGATGATGATGATGATGATGATGATGATGATGATGTTGATGATGATTATGATGAAGCTGTTGAGGCTCATGCTGATGATGATGGTGATGGTGATGGTGATGGTGATGGTGATGTTGTTGATGATGATGATGCTGCTGATGCCGATGATGCTGATGCTAATGTTGATGATGATGCTGATGATGCTGATGATGATGATGATGCTGATGCTGATGCTGATGCTGATGCTGATGCTGATGCTGATGCTGCTGATGATGATGATGATGAAGATGATGATGCTGATGATGATGATGATGATGATGATGATGATGATGATGATGATGATGATGATGATGATGATGCTGATGATGATGATGATGATGACGAGGTGGAGGAGGAGGAGGAGGAGGAGGAGGAGGAGGACATCGACGACGGAGGAGTGGAGCGTCTCGGGTGACTCAGGGGAGCCTCTGGGCCTCTCGGGGGTCTCTTGGGAGCCTTTTGGGGGCCTCTTCGGGGTCTCTCAGGGCCTCCTGGGCGCCTCTTGGGGCCCTCCTGGGGCACTCTTGGAAGCCCTGGGGGCCTTCTTGAGGCCATCTGGGAGGACTTCGATCAAAGAACGGGGGTCCCAAGTTAGTGACGCCCACCCAGGAGCCCAACATTGGCCTTAATCCTCAAGAGCATTCATGGTTTTGGCATACTCGCCGAGGCCATCTTGGACGCTCCAATGTGTCGCGAAGCCCCCCGTCCAGGGTCAGGGGAGGGGGAGGGGGAGGGGTAGACCCCTCCCCGAAGGGGAAAAGGGCAGTTGGAAGAGGAAAGGCTCCAAGCGTCTCAAGCCCAGAGGGCCGGTGGGATCACTTCCCCCTGTTTTGCCCCTGTCTCGCCATCCTGCCCCATCGAAGGTACACAGCGACACACACTTTGGGCGGTCGCGGCCTCACGCGCAGCGCTGAGGCGGTGCGCGCGCGGCCCGGCCCTCCGTGTGCGCCATTAGCAGCAACCCATCGGGGCGAAGATGGCGAGGAGGGAGCACGCAAACCCGGCGCTGACAGCCGCACATGCAGAGGCTGTGAGACGGTAGGCGCGGAGCTTCCGTCGGGCTGGCGCTGGACACCCCACCCCCTGCACCACTGGGAGGGCCCCGCCTCGGGCCCGGCCTCGCCGCGCGCTTCGCGCGCTGGGCAAGGCGTGCCGGGAGGGCGTGCAGGGAAGGCATGCAGGAAGACGACAAGGTTTTTTCCCTCCTCCTCCTCCTCCTCCTCCTCCTCCTCCTCCTCCTCCCTCCTTCTCCTCCTCGCAGGCCTAGAGGTTGACACCAACACCAATATCGGCGGTGTGGCTCCACCGAGGGAAGAAGATCCCGATCTCGGTGATGGTGGTTATAATTCTGGCTTCCAAGGTGGCCGAAATATTACCACCAACACCGAAATCTAGGATCATCTTCCCCCTGTGGAGGCAACCCCCTGTGTTGGTGTTGGTGCCCATTTCCAGGCCTCCAACCTCCTCCTCCTACTCCTGCTCCTGCTCCTCCTCCTCCTCCTCCTCGTCCTCCTCCTCCTCCTCCTCCCTCCTCCTCCTCCTCCTCCTCCTCCTCCTCCTCCTCTTGGTGACTGGATCCTGGTTCCTGGTGGATGGACGGTTGTTCAGACGGAGCCTCCCCCCCTGGGCCGGTCGGCCAAGGGGGGGGTGATCAAATTAGACAGCTAGGGTCATTGGTGTGACTGGCGGTGGAGAGAACATGAGTAATACAGACAAGCAGAAGACAGGAGGAGGAGGAGGAGGAGGAGGAGGAGGGAGGAAAAAGGGGATCGTAATATCGAGGAGGAGTGGAGAGGAGGTGGGGCTGTCGCCGTGTGTAGCAAGCGGTGGGGCGCATGTTGCAGCCTTTCCATCCCGAAGATACCCCCCCACACCAATATTTAAGTGGGCGCGTGGCATGTGCCTTGCGAGGAGCTGGCGATAGGCAGAGGTGGCGATGTTTTGCGGCGGGGCTTTGCTGGCGGCGTGAAGCGTGGAGGCACATGCTGCGAAAAGTTGGCGAGCGGTAGAGGTGGCAGTAGATGAGGCCAGGTGCGTGTGCGAAAAGCTGGCGGGCGGTGGAGGTGGCAGTAGGCCAAGCTAGGCAGTGCTCGGTGTGGCGGTGGCGTGACGTGTCCACACTCGCCGGAGTAAAAGGCACAACGGCCTCTCCCTCTGGTCATACGAATCCCCCGCAGGCGTCCCCAGGGTTCAAGGCGGAATTCCTCGCCTGCAAGCAGGCTTAGGGTTCCCAGCGCGCAGCCCTTGGGGCCGCCTGGGGAGATTCCACCGAGCGTGAGAGAGGTTTGTGCCTTCCAGGCAGTGATGGGAACTCCCACTCTCGCCGGGAAGGGAGGGCGGCCACGCTCGCCCAGGTGGATGGCATAAGGGCCTCTCCCCCTGCACATAGGAGCCCCCACGAAGCGTCCACCATCCCCGTCACTGGTACCCTCCCCTGACAAGCAGGAGCAGGGTACCCAGATCACGGGATTGGTGGCCGCTTGGAGGCGGGGGTCAGCCGTCTTTGGGGGAGTTTTATGCCTTCCGTGGCGGTGGGTGGCACACCGTAGGTCCGCAGCCCCCGTCACCCATGCCCGACCCTCCATAACCCTACGTGAGAGCGGAGCGGAGCGGCAGTGTGGTGCGCTGTACGCCACCAATTCTTGCCTGTCCGATGGGGGTGGCTGCTGCACATTGAGACTTGGTGGCTCGCTGCCATGCGGCCACGGCCGCCCTGGCCCTTGCCAAGGCGGCCTGTGGCGAGTCCCCTCGTTTTTCCCCCAACACATGATCCCCCCCTACACGCCTTTCCGCCACCACATGAGGAGGGATGGTGGGAGGTTAGCGAGCGGAAGCGGGGGGAAGGAGGCTGCAAGAAGGTGAGCCAGAAGGGAGTGTAGGTTGGAGGTTGGCAGAGCCCTCAATGTCTCCCATGTCTCACGCTTATGGGTGAGAAAGCCCAGTAGGGACCCTCTTCTGTCTCTTGTCGGCGAGAAAGCCCCGCGGACACACACGCATGTCGGATGAGGTCGCATAGCTTGTGGGTGAGAATGCCCCGAGGGGGCCCATGGCGTAGCATGGCCGATGTCCGTGTGCTCGGCGTGTGCTTTGACGTCTGGGCGTCTGGGCCTTCTCCACCACCTCCTCCCCCTCCTTCTCCTCCTCCTCCTCCTCCTCCTCCTCCTCCTCCTCCTCCTCCTCGTCCTCCTCCAGCGCCGACACCCGAAAACCGGGCAGGTCGCCGAACGTTTGTGCTCATGCCTATTTAGCTCGAAGGAGAAAAGACGTCGTAAAAGTATGACTTTTCGGAGCTCCGCGCGAAGCGTTGCCCCCCGGTGCGCTCTGCGCGCCAGGAAGGGGGGGAGTCCATCTCAGATCATAGGAATCCGCGCGGACCTTCGGAAATGTCTGTGCACACCGTTCTTCGGGGAGCAAGCAATAACATGAATGTAAAGCCTCTGAGGTCCGCGCGGATTCCTCGGGTCGGCGCTGGGGCCCCCTGGCGGCGCCTCCGGCGCCGCCCTGGCGAGCATCGCGCGCCAGGGAGGGAGATCCAGCTCCGATCTGGGAAGTCCGCGCGGACCTCTGTGCTTTTGTGTTTGTGCCATTGTTTCGCTAGTTCTATAGGCCTACGCCACATCCGCCGACCCCTCTATAAACTACTGCGCTGCCAAGGCTGCATTCCACGAGGCTTGTCCGATTCCTGGGAGGTTTTTGGGGGCGTTTGGGGGCCTGTTCGGCCTCCCTGGGGGTTTCGTGGGGCGTGTTGGGGGCTCCTCGAGGCTTTCCTCGTGGCGACCGCGCGCGGGTGCCATGCGGCCAGGCGCGGACACGTGCAGACGCACGGCGAGGGAGCGCTCGGTGGGTGGACGCAGCGCGCGCGGCACGGTTTGGTTATCTTGTTGCGCGTGTCTCAGTATCGCTATCCCCATCCCCTTCGAGACCCCCACCAACCTGCCCCTCCAGTTGGGGATGCATCCCTCAAAACCCGAAGGGAACGGCCTGTATCCCCATCTCGGGGGGTAATTCGGCCACTGGGGCCCAGGCCACACCGCTGGGGATGGGGATCGGTTAAACGATGCTCAGTGTCAGGTGAGGCGCGGGCGTGCTTGGACAGAGGAGCAGCGGCCAACGGAGTACGGTCGGACCGAGGTATCAGATCGAGTTCAGTCCGGGGAGGGTGCCCTAGTGTTCTTCGTGTTTGTTGGATATTCTTGTGCATCCTGGGGAGGGTACCCTTGGATGTTCTGTGTGTTTTGGAGGGCGGAGGCTCTCATGTTCTTGGAGGATGTTCTGCTGGCCTAGGTTCGACTGTACGGTGGGGACGTTCGTTAAGGAATGTGCCTGGGAGGCTGCAGACCCTGGAGGATTCTTTTCCTGACCAGGGCAGCGGTAAGATCTATGGCTGGTCCACGACTGGAGTTCTACCAGCTTCCAGACGCTGGATTCCTTATCCGATGGTTCCTTATCCAATGCCCTCACCGCGCCCGAAGGCAAGCAGGCAGAGGCTGTGCACGGCGCAGCGGTGCCCAAGGTGCGGGATCTGGAGTGCGCCCGCCTCGAGAGGGCGCTGGAGGTCCAGGTCCTGCTGTTCGAATCGCTCGAGTCGGAGCGTGCCTCGCCGCGACGGCTGGACCCACAGCGAGAAGCTGTGAGAGCGGCGCTCGCGGCCCTGGAGCACGCCAGGCGACAGGGCGACTCGTGAAGGTGGTCGTGGGCATCGTGCGGCCGCTAGACGTGCCTTGCCCTCTCGCCCTCCTTCCCCCTTGTTGATTTGAATGCATGACCACGCGCCTGCTCGCGGGTGCTCGAAGAGTTTTAAAAAATGCCCTCACCGTAGCCAGCACACGGTACTTCGACCATGGCTCGCCTGGGTGACCAGTTGGGCCGGTCCCCCATTCCTTCCCTTGCGCCGGCCAGGTTAAGCAGTGGGTCGTGATAGACGACATCAACATGGCCGACGCCGACGAGGGTCGGAAGGCGGGCACCCTGCTGATGGCGCCCAGGAGCCCCGTCCCGGCGCTGTGCCACCCCGCGAGAGGGAGCCCTCCTGGCCTGGCCGCGAGGCCTGGCCTGTGGGTCGCCTTCCCTGGGCTGCCTGCGGCAGCGCCTGCTCCAGTGGAAGCCTGGGCGTGTTGGAGGAGCTCTTGCCGTGGACATGCCCTGAGATCTGGGCGATGCACTCGTTTCACACTGGGTGTCTTCGCACGGTTTCGGCCCCCAGGGACATCACAGCGCGGTCCGGCTCGAAAAATGCCTCGCAAAGATGGGGTCAAGGGACTCGGTCGTGAGTTCCTCAACGTTGCATTTTTACGTGACGTCGGATCTCAGGGCAGGGCATTGTCGCTGGACCTGTGGCCAGGCATCTGGGGCAGGGTCAGCGGACGGTCATCGGTGACCCCCAAAGAGCTGGGAGCAAGGAAGCTGCAAGCGCCTACGGGAAAGTGGATGAATATACACTACTTGGCTTGCCTGGGGGAGAGTTGGATACACCCTGAGGCGTTGCAGAGAGGACCTCGCTTTCGGCGGAGTCCTACGGAAGTGATGCGGCGACGTGCCGGCTGGCCGAAGTCCGCGGAAGGCTGGCGGAAGGCGGCGGCGGAAGCAAAAGCTGGACGTCAACATGTTCCACAGAAGGGTTCCAACGGGGGTTTGGGGGGATGTTTTTTTTCCAGATAGCCCCCCAGGGGCCTCGGAACCTCGTCAAAAAAGGGGGTGCGAAGCCACTGAGGGACCCCTCCTGGAAAACCCCTTCCCCAAAAACCCCCTTTGGAACCCTCCGGATGTTTGGCCTCGGGGCTTCCGGACTCGGACACGTCCAGGGTGTCTTTCCGCGCGCGTGTCTGGCGCGTGGCCTCCGCAGGCTCCGCACCGGAGTCCCGCCGAGTGTGAGCTCCGGAAGCGTCGGGCTCCGCGCAGCGAGGCCGATGCACGCGCAAAGCGGCGTGTGCTCGCAGGGCGGGCCTGGTGCGTGTTCGATGTCGTTTCCCGCGCTCGTTCCTTCTCCGCCACAGCCAGGCAAGATCGGGCATAGCCAGGACCCCAGATCAGGGGGCCCGGTTAGTATCGGGGGTGGACAGACCTCCTACCCTGACAAGTCGATTAAGGAATTGGCCGTTTTCGGTTCGCGAGAGGGCGTCGCGGCCGTCATTTTTGCGGGTCCAGGTCCGTCGGTTCCGGTCCCAGGCCGCCTTCACTAAGGGGAGGTTTACTAAAGGGAGGTTTGTCCACCGCCGATAGTAGTAGGGCCCTGGAGCCCCTGAGTTGACCAGAATCACTACAAGCCAGGTCTGCCGTAGCTGGTGTTTTTTGGGTGACGGAAGTTCCGGTTAGTGGAACGCGGCGGGGGGGCCTCCCCGAGCACACATCACTAAACAAGGCCCCACGAAACCCAGTTCTGCCAACGCCCAACAAGAAACTCCTGGTAAACTCTGGGAGGACCGCGCAGATCTCTCCAAGGGTCGACGCTCCCGCTCCCCGTGCGGCGGGCGCGCGCCCCGCGCTCTCCCGGGGGAGGGGCTGCGGGGAGCCCTGCGCTCTCTGGGGCATCCGCGCGAATGATTTCGCACGAGGCCCTTCAGTTTGAAGCTGGCGGAGGGGCAGCGAACGTTGGGGCGGCGGAGGAGGGGGCAATGTTCGTAGGGTGCAGCCAAGCCGCATGGTAAGGATGATCGATGTTCCAAGACTGCCCTTGCATCCATGCCCCTCTGGCCCATGCTTAGCGACTTTCGCTGGCCAACCTCGCTCGAAAAGCGTCAACATGGCCCTCCAAGGCCCTCTCATCCTTACTGCGCATCCTTATTACACGGGTTGATTGTAAGGGCAAACCCAAGCAGCTCAATCGCCAGTAAGAGCACATATCTGAGATCCGAGTTTCTTGCGAATGGGGGTCGTAAGGATTGCTACTCACGGATCAAGCGCGCCGGCCGAGCGTATTGGGATTTGGCCCTCGAGACGGCGCCGTCCCCCAGCGACCTCCAACCCTCAGTTCTGATTTAATTTGCACAAAACTCCCTCGGGGCTGCGGGCTGAAGCCCCTGACCCAGACGGGGGGAAAACGAGCCTCTGCTAGTCGCGCCCAGCCGCCTTCGCACTGCCAGGCCACGGCGCAGTGCACAGAGGAGGTGGTGTAAGAGAAGGAGGAGGAGGAGGAGGAGGAGGAGGTGGTGTAAGAGAAGGAGGAGGAGGAGGAGAAGGATTTCCAGAGAAGCTTCCAAGACGGCCTAGGATACACCCAGGAGGGGAGTGGTGTTTGGCAGCAAGTTTCAGCCGCAGGCACATAACCACACATGGAGAGAACGCAAGTGATCAAATTAACGTCGCGGGCATACGCGAGAATCCAGGCGGACCTCCGACATGGTCTGCTTACTTGTTTATTGCGTTACGGCCATCCACACTATCTTCCTCCATCCTCCAGGAGAGGCAGAACTACCGCCTTTGCTTGCGTTTGTTAAGCAGTCCGGGCTGTTTATAGAGTCCTGCATGTTGGGCTCCTTCCTCTGTTGTGTTATTGCGGAGCTTCTCGCGCAGGGGTTTCCATTACGAGGCGTTTGCCCTCTACTCCTCGACCTTCCTTCTCTCTCCCTTCCCTCCCCACCCTCCCTTTCCTCCTCCCCCTTCTCCGAGGCCTGCCTGAAGCTCGAACCACGGCACGGTGATGTGGCCCACTTGGTTCAATTGTTCTGCGTTCGCGGCTCGAACCACGAGCTCCACACGTTCGTAGATGTTCCCCAAACACTGCTGGCTTTTGGGGGCTCCTACGTCTGTCACGAAGGACTTGGACGCGTCTGCCGAAGTTTCGCCGCGTCGCCGCCCGTGGCCGCCTCGTGGCTGCCTCGCTGCCGCCCACTTGGGGAGTCGGCCGAGACTTCGCCGCGCCGCCGCCCGTGCTCCCTCGGCCGCCCAGCGGCCTGGGGGGTTCCAGTCGGCGGGGCGCGGCTTTCTAGCAGCGTGCTGACGTTCCGAGGCTTCGGAGGCGGCTCCCAGAGGTCGGTCGCCTCTGGCGTGAACTTTCCAGACGCGAGGTGGCTGGATGAGCTTTGGCCGGAGAGCTGGTCGCGCGCCGGAGTCTGGGGGGGAGGCCGGGGGCACGTGCGCGACGGAGGTCAGCGCTCACGGGGACCCGCCAATCTTCTCCGATCTCCGGCTGACCCAGCTTGAGGGGCCATCGCCGTCTCGACGTAATATCTTGCCAGGATATGCGGATTGCAGGGCAAGGCGCAGATGCACATATCGTATACGATGTATCTTCTGACTTCTTCCGCATCGGGCTGACGATCGTACCCATCTTGGGCGACGACGTCGCCGCCGCCGCTGTCGTCGTCGTCGTCGTCGTCGTCGTCGTCGTCGTCATTGTCGTCGTCGTCGTCGTCGTCGTCGTACAGCTTTTGGGGCCCAGGTGGAGCCGACCTCTACCCGTTGCCCTCCGCCGACCGGGGTCTGGCAACTCATTCGTGGTTGGTCATGGTTCGGGCCGCGGCCCCAGCCGGCCCCGGGGTCAGCGCTGACCCGCGTCAGTGCGTCCCTCCTGGCCGTGCCTGGCTCCCTTGCCTGGCATCGTTTTGACAACGACAGCTATACACCAACACCGATCCTGGCCAGGCCCATGTTGGCCTCAGATCGGTGTATGCGCCGCCCTGGCCAGACCAGAAAAGCGTATGCACCGTCCCTGGGCCTAGGACAACATCGGCGCCTGAAACCGTATCCGCAGAGCCTTCCCTCTGTAGAGTGGAGCCCATCCGCAGCTCGACCCCGCCCCCCCCCCTCCTGCTCCCCTTGCCTCGGGAGAGCTTGGCGCGACAAGATGCGCCCCGTTTTGGGCGTCGCGCAATGGGGGGGGGCGAGGAATGGGCGGTTTTGGGGGGGGCTGCGAGGCTCCAAAAGGGGGCCTTCGGGGCCCGAGCAGTGCACCGTTCTTCCCCCCAATTTTTCGCCCCCGCACGCGATGGCGCGCCCCGCCGCTGGTTCACCCCGCTCCCGCGCCTGCGGCCGCTTGACGTCAACTCGCGGGACACTGCAGGGCCACGAGCCTACGCCGATCCCAGCTGGGACCCGCGCGTCGCCGAGAAGAAGGTCCGCCCTTTGGCGACTGGCACGGGGCCCGCCCGTGGGCTCGGAGCCCCCCCCCGGCTGCTCGAACGGGAACGGGGACACCTCACCGAGCCTGGCCGGGGAGGGGGGGGGAGGCAGGGAGGGGGAGGGGCACGGGAGACGGGGGGGATGCGGGAGGGAGGAGGGAGGAGGGGCAGGAGGAGGAGGAGGAGGAGTAGGAGGAGGAGGAGGAGGAGGAAGAGGAGGAGGACGAGGACGAGGAGAGAGGAGGAGGAGGAGGAGGAGGAGGAGGAGGAGGAGGAGGAGGGGGGGGGAGGAGGAGGAGGGGGGGAGGAGGTGGAAGAGGAGGAGGAGGAGGAGGAGGAGGAGGAGGAGGAGGAGGAGAGGAGGAGGAGGAGGAGGAGGGGGAGGAGGAGGGAGGAGGAGGGAGGAGGATGGAGGAAAGCTGAGGAGGGAGTACGAGAGACAGCATTCCCGCGAGGAACAAATGCGACATCGCGAGAAATCACCACTGGAGCATTCGACCCCATCTTTGGAA